TATTCTTTTGAAACAATTATACAAGTTGCGAAATAATTAAGTTTACACCAATTTTAATTTTGATTCAGTTCAACAATGTCAAGATCAGCCGAAAAAATCCACACTCGCCATAATATTCTGAATTATGTGGATTAGAGTACTATCTCTCCTCAGATATTGAGCGATATGTGCTCATTTCAAATTGCGATAAATACATTGGTTTATTGATCGTGTTTACAATTTGCCATGGAATGTAATAAACGCAATTCGTTGCTTTCTCTCTGTTTCCTCGACCTAACTTAGTTACTATCGAGAGCGATAATATATTAGGTTGGCAACTAAGTCATTGCCGATTTCAAATAAGAAGGCAAATTCGGAATTTTCGTTTAAAAATATAACTTTATTCAATTAGATGTTGGCCGTTCTTGTCGATGACCTTTTTCCATCCTTCTGGCAGAGTATAAATTCCCCGTTCGTAAAATGTCTTGTCTTTGCTATTAAAAAACTCAATTAGGTGTGATCCGACATCATCCGCGTTGTTAAAAATTTTACCATTTAAAGAGTTTTGCATGGAACGAAACAAATGGAAATCCGAAGGCGCAAGGTCAGGGCTATATGGTGGGTGTGACAAAACAAAACAAAACATCCCAACCCAGTTCCAATAATTTTTGCCGAGTAACCAAAGATGTGTGGGGCCTTGCATTATCATGATGGAAAACAACACCCTTCCGCCGATTTGATAATGCCGGCCGCTTATCTTCAATTGCATCCTTCTTTCAGTTTTTCGAGTTGCTCAACATACACATTTGAATTTATCGTTTGGTTCTGCAGCATGAGTTCAAAATACAAAATTCCTTTGTGATCCCCCCACCAGACTGACAGCATAATCTTTTTTGGTGAATCTCTGCTTTTGATACTGTTTGGGCTGGTTGATCTTGCTTCACCCATGATCTCTTGCGAGTAACAATGTTATAAACTATCCACTTTTCGTCGCCAGTACCTAGGTTCTTCAGAAATGGATCATTCTTATTGCGTTTCAGTAGCGGCGAATCACAGATGCTAATCCGTTGCGTCAAATGAATTTCCTTTAACTGGTGAGGGATCCATAAATCAAGTTTCTTGACATTACCAAGGGTTTTTAATTTTTTTTCAATGCATGTATGCGACACATTGAGCTTCTCTGCAATATCTCGTGTTGTGCTGTGACGAATTGACTCGATAATGGCCTTGATATGGGTTTCATCCACTTCGACTGGGCGGCCAGATCGTTGTGAATAGTATCTAGTTAAAATTAGGAAGGTAATTAGTTATGTGTGAAGNGCACATATCGCTCAATATCTGAGGAGAGATAGTACTCTAATCCACATAATTCAGAATATTATGGCGAGTGTGGATTTTTTCGGCTGATCTTGACATTGTTGAACTGAATCAAAATTAAAATTGGTGTAAACTTAATTATTTCGCAACTTGTATAATTGTTTCAAAAGAATAAAAAATCTGAAAATTAATAATAAAATTTTAAACGAGTTCTGAAAATTAACTTTACTTATAATATTTAAGTACATTGCTTATTTTACTCATTTTGCGATTCCCTGATTATTGCAGTTAACTCCATTGAAAACATGGAATTTACACGTTATGCATGATACAATCTTGAAGAGGTATAAGTAACAAATCTATTAATGCTGAAGAAGTGACTAAAGGAAATCAAATAAATAGTATCCAGTTAAAATTAGGAAGGTAATTAGTTATGTGTGAAGGAATATTTGTTTACTTATCAAATCAGATGGTTCCAAATTTGATTGGCTGACCAATTTTGCAGCGAACCGTCGTTAGACCAATCAGAACTCCCCAACGTGGTGCACCAAATGTGGCGCGCATCACGAAAACAGCTGACGAAGGCTATTTGGCGCACGCAAGTGAGACATAACGGTGCAACGTCTTCTGCACGACTGTTACAACTACTTGCAGAGTGCACCCATTAAAGAAGCGTCATCAGGGCGATAGGCCTCATTTTTTAGCCGTTAAGGAATTAGCTCTTTCTGCAGGAGCAGTGCTTCTGCCACTAACGTATGAACGAAGGAGTGAAGTGTGATTCGTCAGTCATTCACATTATTACGCGTGGCTCTTTGTAAGAAGAATCCCTTCCCAGCCCTCCTGCATCACAATTGAACCTTCTAATTCACTGTCTTTGAAATAAGTTGAGTATTTTAGCGTGGAACTAACGAGGCACTTAGTCTCTGCATCACTATATGCATGCAAATATAAGAATAAATTCTCATGGAGGCAAAATTAAATGGTAACAATAGGTAACAAATGAAGTTATCATTAACCATTCTGCTGATAGAAAGTGGTTAACTTTGAATAATTTGAATGAATCGATGAACAAGCCAATCAATTTAGCCCAAATGCAGATGGAATAATAGCGATAAAAATTAAGGTGACAGTACTTGAATTCTAAACGATAAATGAGTTGATTTGTTGGTTTCTTCACTTATATCGTGATTCCACGCTTTAATAAACATTATTCCACTATGTCAATCAATCTGGGTGGGTAGCCCGTCTCATGAAGCCTCACTGAAATGTAACTGGAATCCTGCCAACACCAGTGATATTCACACTTAATTAGCTTTAGTTGACCCAACTCTTAACCTAGATACTATAATAATTGCCATCTACCAATTATCCGATGAGCATTTCTCAACAAGGTTTTACCCAATAACAGTGATTATTTATGCAGACATATTTTGTAATGAAATAGTCAGGAATTAGTAGGGCATTGATATGTATCTCTTCAATGAAATCGGAAATCATTTGCAAATTGATGTCATTCATTA